GAAATCAGGTAATCTGTGCTGTGGAAGCTGACTACTTCCTTTGGGTGTTTCTTTTTATAATACTGTTAAATTTAATTCTGTGGTTTGTTGCTTTTTTCTTGGTCAATCCTGGGGTTTGAACAAGGCTAGAGCTCTATCACTTTGAGCCACAGCTCCACTCCTGATTTTCTGGTGGTTATTTGGAGATAAGAGTCTCACAGACTTTCTTACCTGGGCTGGCTTTGAACTGTGATTCTCAGGTCTCAGAGAAACTAGGACTATAGACATAAGCCACCAGTGCCCAGCAGATTTAACTCTTAAATACTTTTGTGTTTAATTAGAAAGATCAAAAAGCTGGGGTCATACAATTGTAGCTACTTGGGAGACTAAGATCAAGATCTTAGTCCCAGGCTAGCCAGGGCAGAAAAGTTGGTAAGATCCTTCTTAGTAAATGGATGTAGTGTGCACCCACCATCTCAGCTGAGTGGGAAGTGAAAAACAGGTGGATCATGGTCCAGGTGGCAGGCCTGAGCAGTAAGTGAGATCCTAATCTCAAAAATAACCAGCATGAAAAATCACTGAAGGTACGGTTCAGTGGTTGAGTACATAAGGCCCAGCGTCTAAACCCTACTAACCAAAACAAAAACAAAACAGGAAATGGGAATGGAGCACTGGTGTCCTATCATCCTAGCTACTTGGGAGGTGTGGATAGGTAGATAGGAAGGGTTGTGGTTCCAGGCTAGCCTAGATTAAAAGTCTACAAGACCCCATCTCAACTGAAAAACCAAACATGGTTTATCTTCCCAACTGCAGTGGAAGGTTCCAGCCAATGTGGGCAAAAATGGAGACCCTATCTCAAAAATGAGTGGTGTAAAAGGGCTGGAGTCATGGCTCTAGAGGGAAAATATCTGCCTAGGCCCTGAGTTCAAATCCTGATACTTCAAAAATAAAAATAATAAAGAAAGAACACTTCACAGGAGCCACTAAGCATTTTCTATTGTATCACATTATCATGAAATGTCACGTTTAGTGGTATTTATTGGTACAGTGCTAGACCCATGATTGAATTTAAGGCTTTGTGCTTACTAGGCAACCACTCTATCGTTTGAGCCATGTCTCTGGCTCTTTCTACTTTTGATAATTTTCTAACAAGTTCTAGCATTTTGCCCAGCTAAATGATGATACCTTTTTCTATCTGAAACTGTTTACTTATTTTCCATCCTCCTGCACTCAGATTTTTTTTTGAGTAGTCTTTTGAACTTTTTGCTTGGACTGGTCTTGAACCCCAGTCTTTCTTTCTTTTTTTTTTTTGCTGATTCAAATGTAATGTTTATTACATGTTTATTACTGTGCCCATTATTAAAATAACCAAAGAAAAATCAATTTAAAAAATGCCCACTGTCAGTCCAGGCAATATTGACGTTTCAGCTTGACTGGTTCATGGTAGAGCATAAATATGTAGGCATCTGAAGCAATTCCTTACAGACCCAGCTTGGTTCTTCTCCAGTGTCTTCTCTTGGAGTTGTACCTGATTTTGTTACCAGTTTTCATCTGAATCCACTGGGGAATGGGGCGATTTTGCTTTTGTTTCTTGGCCAGAAACCACTTGATTCTGAAAGTCTTGTGAGAAGACATGATGGGAAACTCTGGAAGGCACAGTAACCACCATGGCAAACAAAAGCTGAAGAGTGAACCCCAGTCTTTCTGATCTGTCTTCTCCCCAGCTTTCCCAACAGTAGCAAAGATAACAGGCGAGCCACTATGCCTGGCTTGGTTTTCATAATTTTAATGGTACTAATGATTGATCAGAGGTTCACATATCAGATCCCCTCAGTGTGTGTGTGTGTGTGTGTGTGAGAGAGAGAGAGAGAGAGAGAGAGAAAGAGAAAGTGTGTGTGTGTACTAGGGATTGAATTCAAGGCCACAGCACTGTCCCTTAGCTTGTTTGCTAAGGCTGGTGCTCTACTACTTGAGCCACAGCTTCACTTGTAACTCTTTAGTGGTTAATTGGAGAGAAGAGTGTCATAGACTTTCCTGCGGGGCTTTTGAAACATGATCCTGAGATCTCAGCTTCCTAAGTAGCTGGGATTATAGGTATGAGACACTGGTGCTCAGCTCCACTCAACATTTTTAAAGTTTTATTATTTATGTATTTATTTTCCTTCATGGCAAATGCTGACACTGTTTATTAAAATGGGTGATAACAAGCATTGGAAGACAGCACACAATACCTATGATCTGCCGTCCCAGAGTAGAACATTAGTGGGAACTCATGTCTGGGAATGGTTGTGGGCGAGTACCCAGGCAGGATCTAAGTCTACCTAGGCAAAGGCAAGTGCCCTGTCTGTTTGCCTCCTGCAATCAGACACTCCCTACTTTAAGATCTACTAAGCAAATCAGTGATGTCAGTTGTGGTTGGAGGGGAAAGAGTCCTATAAAGACAGCCCTGCCCTTGGCACAGGGCCAAGCCTAGATCTCTGGAGGTAATGAGGTAAAATACTCTCTCCTCTTAGGGTTGCCCATAGAGAGAGGCCACGGTTTAAATCAATGCTCTTCTGCTTGAAAACTCGCCAGCCTCTTGAACACAAAAAGAATTCTAGGAATCCTTGGCAGAATGAATATACTTCAACCCCCAAATGAGAACACATTTCAAATAAATTATACATATGGACACACAATTCAAATCTCCACCCCAGCTTGAAGAAAACTCAAAGTCACTTCTGTGTTCTCTGTGTTACTGGAAGTGTAGGTGAAACTGTCCCTCCTTTATCCTTGAGTAACAATCAGACAACTCAGAACTGAGAAAGTTTCATACTTCAGAATATTCTTTCTTTTTTTTTTTTTTTTTGGTCTATCATAGGGCCTGAACTCTGGACCTGGGCACTGTCCCTCAGCTCTTCAGCTCAAAGCTAGCATTCTACTACCTGAGCCACAGCGCCACTTCTGGCTTTTTTTGCTTATGAGGTGCTAAGGAATCAAACCCAGGTCCTTATGCAAGCAAGGCAAGCACTCTACCACTGAGCCACCTTACCAGCCCCTGGAATATTCTTACATTCATCTTCTTCCTCCCCTCCTCAAATCCCTTCCTCCAATCTAAAAATAACCCAGGCAAAAACAGGAGAACCTATATGAAAAATAACAAGCAAAACAGAGCTGGAGATGTAATTCAGATTTAAAATGCTTGCTAACAAGTGCAAGGCTCTGAGTTCAAACCAAAGTACTACCAAAAAAATATGTGTAAATAGATAGGTAGCTACCTCTGTATCTCTGATTATCTATCTATCTATCTATAGCTAGATATTATGTTTAGTTGAGTCAATAACAGACAATCAAATGTTGAAATTGGGCCAGGAGTAGCAATCTTCACAATAATAATCCATTAATTTTCCTAACACAGAACTATAGTTGAAGCCAGGCACCAGTGGCTCACTCCTGTAATCCTAGCTACTCAGAAGGCTGAGATCTGAGGATCTCGGTTCAAAGCCAGCCCAGGCAGTAAAGTCGGTGACTCTCTTATCTCCAATAAACCACTCGAAAACCGGAAGTGGCGCTGTGGCTCAAGCAGTAGAGCGCTCACCTTGAGCTGAAGAGTGCAGGGACAGTGCCCAAGCCCAGAGTTCAAGCCCCAGAACCAAAAAACAAACAAACAAAAAAAACTATAGTTGAAGGTTCAAGTCATCCTTTTAATTACAAATCTATAACAGATTTCTAAAAGTTGTGTTACACAAGTCATCCTATCAGAAACGATAAAAAACCAGGCACCGTTGGCTCACACCTGTAAATCTAGCTACTTAGGTAGCTGAAATCTGAGGATCATGGTTAGAAGTCAGCCCAGGCATGGTTACAATTCAGCCCAGGCAAGAAAGTCTGGAAGACTCTCATCTCCAAGATTGTAAACTATCAGAAAAAGCCAAGTGGAGCTGTGTGGCTCAAGTGGTAGAGTGCTAGCCTTGTACAAAAGCAGCTCAGGAACAGCACCCAGCCCTGAGCTCTAGCCCCAGGACCTGCACAATAAATAAATAAAAAGCATTTAGGAACTAAGACCTCTGGGAGGTCTTGTCATTGAAATTTAAAGGCCATTCCTAAGTTAGTAGAGAGCTATGGTCATTGCTCAAGTGGTAGAGTACCTGACTAGTATGGCCCTGCATTCCAATCTCAGTACTACCAAATAGCCACTAGTAGAGAACTAAGCATTATAAGACATAATAAAATAATTGACTAGGAAGAACATGTGGCAAAGAGAAGTGAGGCAAGGAATTGTGGCTTTTATTATAACCCTATTAAAAAGGGAAAATGGTAGCAGCCCCGGTGCCTGTGGCCGACTCTTCACTTGTGTATCCCTAGCTATTCAGAAGACTGACATCTAAGGACTGCGGTTCAAAGCCAGCCTGGGCACGCAAATCTGTAGGATTCTTATCTCCAATTAACCTCAAAAAAGCCAAAAGTGGAGCTGTGAATCAAGTGGAAGAGCATCGGCCAGAGTGACAACGCTGAGAGACCGTGCCTGGGCCCTAATACTCACCTCCCTCCACCGCTGAGCGTGGCTCGGGTGGCTCACACCTGTCGTCTCAGGTACTCAGGATGGCAGTGAGATTCCTATCCCCAATTAATCACCGGAAATGGGGCTGTGGCTCCACGCGGTGGAGTGCGAGTTCTGAGCAAAAGAACTGAGGAACAGTGCCCAGGCCCCGAGTTCAAGGCCCACCACCATCAAACACTACACAAGCAAGGAATGCCGGTGGGCAGTATTTAAAGGGGCTAAGGCCACTGAACGTTCATTTGGTGACTGATCATCTTCTGAGGTGGAGGAGTTAGTCTGGTACCCGGACCGGCCCGAGGAGCTGGCAACGCGGTGAGCCGGCATCCTGGCGTCCAAGCTCAGGCCACGAGCCACCGAGACGCGAGCGACTCCCGGCTGGCCCCGCCCGGTGCGCACAAAGCCCCCGCGGGAGGCGGGGCCTCGTGACGTCACCGCGGCTCCCGCCCTCTTACGTCGCGCAGTGGAGACGCCAGAAGGCTTCTGGCGGCGCCGGCGCCATTTTGCCGGAGCTTGCGACCCAGTGGGAGTGGAGCGGGGCCCCGGCTTGTTGTTGCCGGCTCTTTCCTCCTCCCCCACGGTCCAGACAGCCAGGTTGACTTAGGCCGTCGGCCCTCGCGCCGAGACTTGCCTCTTAGTTAGTTCTGAGGAGCGCCTGGCCGACATGAGTGATGTAGAGGAGAACAACTTCGAGGGCAGAGTGAGTACAAAGCCGCGGGAGCCGTCTTCGGCGGCGGCCCGACGCTCGGGGTTTCACGGGAGGACGAGCGCGGTCGGGCCAGGTTGCGGGGAGTCCCCCGCGGGGAGCGGACTCGAGCCGGCGCGATTTCTCGTCCCGTCCCAAGATGGCTTCTGGGTTCCACCTCCCCCCCCCCGACACTCCAGAGGGCCCCGCGCCCCCTCCCCTCCTCTCTCTCTCTCTCTCTCTCTCGTTCTCTCCCTCCCTCCCTCCCTCCCTCTCTCGCTCTCTCATCGGTACTTGGACTGGTCACCCCTCACCTTTGCACCCCTCCCCGCCCGGGGCTTCCTTCTCGGTCTCGTCCGCGGTGGGGCGGGAGGCGGCGGCCGCTGGGAGCTCCCCGCGGGCCGCCCCGTGGCCCGGGCACTTCCCGCGGTGGCGCCGCTGGCGCCCCCCGAGCGAGCTCTGTGCGGAGGGAGTCGGGGTCGGAGGTGCGCGGGGCTGAGGACCGGGCGGGAGCCGCTGGCGCGGGGCTAGCTGGGGCCTGTGTCTCCTTGGCTCTCTATTGCAGTGAGCGGCCGCGTCTCTGTCGGAACCGGCGGCGTTGCGTCTATACAGGGCGAAAAGCCTTGAGGTTGGAGGTGGGACGAGAACCTAATGAAGTGGTTAGTCAACCAGCGCACCGACCCTTCCTTAAGCGTTCTTAAGACCAGAGCCGTGAGGGGAAAACGACGCCAGGAGCCTTTTCCCTTCATGCCCCCCCCCGCCCCTCTTTTTAATTTTCACATCCAAAGGACTGGAGATGCTGAGGAGCTCCTCTCTTGACTTGATGTTGGGTTGTTATTGTTTTTTTCTTCTCAACTTCTAATGCTTTTCTTGTTTAAACAAAAACCTGATCGCTCCTTTACAGGTTTTTACGGTAAAAAAAAAAGTTAAAAACACATTCTGTCTTTAAGCTTACATAACCGAAGCGAATGTACTGGCTCGGTATTTTTTAAATAGCTAGTCAGTCTTTACTATTTCTTTAAACGATTACCTGGAAACTGTAAGCCCTTCCCATTTCTTCTCTCACCCCTCTCCTGGGAAAGAGGGCTCAGAAGGTTTCATTATTTGAGATTGCATGAAACACACACATACACACAAATTCTCAGGGTAAATATACTAGGACGTTTGTTTTTAGAGTTTTAGTTTTGAAGTTACCCTAGTAATGAAAATGGATGAGTGTGGGACCCTAACAAGAAAACAAAAACCCCAAGCACCTCTGGGGCTGTTGTGTTGGTATTTATTTTAGTCACTAGGGAAACACACAACAGCTGGCAGTTATGCTAGAAGGAATGGATTTAACTTTTTGAATTTCTTAAGAGTTAAATCTAGGCTTTTGTTCTTTAAAGATTTAAAACACTCAGCAACAAAACTAACTTTCTGAGATTGAATTTGGATGAAATTGACAAAAAGTTGTTGGGGGAGAATACTTGTTTTGGTTTGTGAGGGCTGAACTACTAATGGGACTTGGTTTTTTTTTTATTAAACTTACTCCACCTAAGTAACATGAAAGATTCCCATTTACTTTTAAGCCAAAATGTATTCAGGCATTAACTTATTTGATAAATTGTTTTTTTTTTTTTAATTTTTGGTCGGTCGTGGGGCCTGAACTCTGGGCCTGGGCGCTGTCCCTCAGCTATTCAGCTCAAGGCTAGCACTCTACCACTTGAGTCCCAGCACCACTTCTGGCTTTTTCTGCATATGTTGTGCTGAGGAATCGAACCCAGGGCCTCATGCATGCAAGGCAAGCACTCTACCACTGAGCCATCTTCCCAAATAGAATTTTTTTTAATCTATTTCTCCCTTCTATGTTTTTTTGGGGGGTGGGTGTGGGGGCAGTCCTTGGGCTTAAACTCAGGGCCTGGACATTGTCCCTGAGCTTCTTTAGGAACTGTTTAATGTCAAGACTACTTCTAAGCCAAGTGTAGTGCACATACATGCCTGTAATAATAAGTGTAATTTCTTTTTTCTTTCTTTTTTTTTTTTTTTTACCAGTCCTGGGGCTTGAACGCAGGGCCTGCAAGGCATCCCTGAGTTTCTTTTGCTCAAGGCTAGCACTTTATTAGAGCCACAGACCCACTTCCAGCTTCTTCTGTTTGTGTGGCACTGAGGAATTGAACAAACCCTGGGTGTCATACATGCTAGCGCATTTCATTTATTTTATCTAGAATATATAAAGGGTGCATACTAATCCCAGCTCAGTAAAAAGGTACTTAGAATTAAATGAAAACTATCTAGAGACTACTAAACCTATTGAATGAAAGAGGACTACACTAGTATTGCCTATTTTAAGGCATTTTAGGAACTCCTCCTGTCTTTGATACATCTTTGATTTACAGATCATGCTGTTATTAAGGGCTGAAGTAATGTTAGCAATTTAGAAATTAAAAGCTGAGTCCTGTTGATGCTTATAATTCTAGGTACTCAGGAAGCTGAGATCTGAGGATTGCAGTTCAAAGACAGCCTGGCCAGAAAGTCTCTGAAACTTTTTTTTTTTTTTTGGTCCTGTCATGGGCCTGAACTCTGGGACTGGGCGCTGTCCCTCAGCTCTTCAGCTTAAGGCTAGTGCTCTACCACTTGAGCCACAGCGCCACTTCCGGCTTTTTTTCTTTTTGCTTATGTGGTGCTGAGGAATCGAACCCAAGGCCTCATGCATGGAAGGCAAGTGCTCTACCACTGAGCCACCTTCCCAGCCCCTCTCTGAAACTTTTTTTTTTAATTTAATTTAATTTTATTTGTGAACGTACTGTACAGAGGGGTTACAATTGCATGGGCAGGATAATGCCTCTCTGAAACTCTTATCTCCAATTAATCTCTTAAAAAGCCAGAGGTAGAGCTGTGGCTCAAGTGTAGAGTTCTAGCTAACCCTGAGTGAAAAAGCTCAGGGACAGGGCTCAGGCTGTTGAGTTCAAGCCCTGGGACTGGCACCAAAAAGGGGGGAAATGCTAAGATTCAGAGGGCCGTGGGCAACTATGAGTTTCTGACACAAGTTCAGTCCTATGCACATTATCTACATGCACTGTACTGTTTATTTTGGTTTGTTTTGTGAAGAGTACATTATATTTTTTTGTATTAGAACCACTGATAAAAAATTTGCTGAAAGCAGTTGCTGAAGCTTAATGCTCTGTTTTAATGAGTAAAAGAAGTTTAGAAAAGATGATATGCTGAATTCTATTTTAAGTAACCTGAGGTGAAATTCCTGATAGAGCATCTGCTGCCTTATTAGTAAGGGCTTCTTCAGTGTTCTTGAGGGAAGAAAACTTGCAGTATAATTTGCTGGCATTCAAATCTTGATTAAAAAAATACTTAATGGAGTGCTGCCAGGCACTGGTAGCTTATGCCTATATAACCCTAGCTGCTTAGAACATTAAGATCTCAGGATCATAGTTTGAAGCCACTCTCGGCAGTGAAGTCTGTAAGACTTCTATCTTCAATAAAAGTAACTTGAGAAAAAGCTGGAAGGAGCTTTTGCTCAAGTTCTGGAGCACTAGCTTTGAGCAAAAAGAAGCTCAGGACAGTGCCAGGGCCCTGAGTTCAAGCAAAAAAATATTTAATGGAGTGCTATGTGCTATGCTTAGTAAGGAAGTCAGAAAGTGAATCTGAGCTAAGGAATTGGAAAACTTTGCCTAGAATGTAAAACCTTGACTATGTTTTGATTATCACAGGCAGGAAATTGTATTGAAATAGCAAAGGATACATTTGACTAAATATGCAGTCCGATAATGAAGGCTTTTGAATTCTAGATTTAGGACTTTGGAATAACCAGTAAAGGGCCATCTGAATTCTTAAATTTGGAGGGGAATAATGAAAGAAGTTGGGTAAAGAATTGATTGGTACTAGAATAGCAACAGGAAACAATCTGGAATATTTAGGGAAAACTCTGCTCCAGATGATGCAGATGTATGAGTAATGGAAGTGGAGCATTGGTGGCTCACACCTGTAATCGAAGCTACTCTGGATGCTGAGGGATGCCAGCCCAGGTAGGAAAGTCCGAGACCCTTAGCTCCAATAACCGTTAGAAAACAGAAGTGGAGCTGTGACTGAAAGTGGTAGAATGCTAGCCTGGAGCAAAAAAAAGCTCAGGGACAGCGCCCAGTCTGAGTTCAAGCTCCACACCCAACAGAGAGAAAGAGAAAGTCAGGGAGACCATTTATTTTCAAGTGATTCAGGAGAATAATGGTGCCATTTAGGTAAATAGGTCCATAAAGCAGTTTGTTTGCTTGGAACATCATGTTAACCTGATATACATCAGGTTAACAAATATTGTTAAATGGAATGTCCTTTTGGAACTAGGAACAAGGTTAATGCTTCAGCTGTGATGTTTTTCATGCCTTCTCAAATGGCAGTGAACTTGTTTGCTACATACAGCTTCCCACACAATTAGAATATGTTTGGCTATACAGTTTATTCTTGCTTCCTTTTCATAGCCTGTTCTGCCTTGAAGAGTTGAAGTATTTTTAAATGATCCTAAAGTTCTTTCCCTTCTTAAAATAGGAGATGATTGGATGATACAAGTGAAAAGGAGAGCGCCAGTGGCTCTTGCCTGTAATCCTAGCTACTCTGGAGGTTGAGATCTGAGGGTCAAGGTTTGAAGCCAGCTGGGAAGGAAAGTCCCTGAGACTCTAATCTCTAATCAATCACTAGAAAACCAGAAGTGGTGCTGTGGTTCTAGTGGTAGAGCTCTAGCCTTGAGCTGAAGAGCTGAGGGACAGCACCTGGGCCAAGAGGCCCAGGCCCCATGACAGACCAAAAAAAAAAGACAATTTAGCTCCAGCAATGTGATTTCATAAATTTTAGTAGGCATAGTGTCAGTCCTAGTTTTGAGTTGGGTTTAAAGTTTTAAGTTCTATCATTTATCCAATTCAGTGTTGTTTTGTTCTTTCTCCTCTGCCTCATCCAAAGAAAGAATTTGCAAGCTTAATCCTTAAAGCTTAAATTTTGTGTTACTTACATTGAGGTGCTAATTGCTCAGTATAAGT